TATATACTATATATATATACGTTTGGGATTGAGCATGCTGAAGATATATATCTTAAAAAGAAGGATTTCTCGATAGCTAAGGTGATAGAAAAAGACTCTTCAAGAATTTGACTCGAATCATTAACATACTTTTTTTCTATTCACTCGATTATATTCACGAGTAGTTATGAGTCGCTTTCAGCCATGCTGAGAATGCATCAAAGCACTCCACATCAACCTCCCATCAAAAAAGAACCCAAAATGGCGTCCCACCATCAACTAAAAATGTCTGTATTTTCAATTGACAGTAGGTATTATGGGAAAAACTGGAGCGATATTTGTGACCACAAACGCTAATATAATATCCTCAGGAGATAGTGATGGATAGCTTCATAACATCTTCAGTCTGAACACGAGAATAACAATAACCCACGAGCACTGCAACTATAGACTGCGATCATAATGCAATTAGATGCTAATTTGGCACAATACACTTCATATTACATTACACAATAATTAATGTCTACATGTGCAAACACGTGAACGTTCATCGATTGATATCGATAAACCATCGCATCAATAAATTGATAGCGCATAAAACAATTGCTTGCAAACTTACTGTTTTCACTGATGAAATAACACCCGAATGATATTCAACTAGTACATTAACGCCAACAAAACCGCAACAAGTCAACGAACTCCGCTTTTTATAAACAACAGCTCTTGCCTGCCTGAACCAAGAGTATGGAGTCCACATCCTGCATATTAGCTTCTCTTTCGTGAACCTCAATCAAAAGGAAGCGTGCCGGGGTTTTGCCACACTCTTGAATAAGCAGCGCACGGATGGAGACAAAAAACCAAGTGTGGTGCACTTTTTAACAGAATGTTATTAGCTTCTGTAGCTATCATCAGGACAGTAAATAAGATTTATCTGTAAATGAATATAACCGAAATATAGAATGAATCAGATATTCCAATGGAAAGACACATTAACACCTAATGAGTTCAACAACAGAACAAATTTCTTTCTAGAATTTTGCGCCAATATTAAACATAATACTATGATAATAAATCTTGATCATTTCACGTTAACCATCCTGGTGTGGTAGGGATTGGACAATTTCGGGGATCTCGTCCTCGACATTTTTTGAGTTGACCGCATTTTCGGGATCACAGCTGCAAAATTTCGTCCCCGATTTTTACCTCCGTCCTCGCACCACACTAAACCCTCTTACTCATTTTATTCAAACTGCATGGCAACTGGACCGAACGAATCATGTTATACGTGAAACGTCAAGCAAGTAGAAACTAAGAATAAGGATGCTTGATACCATCCAATATCATCAACTGCTAACATGTGAGGGATTATTGAATCATTATGATTATTATTATGAATGAATTCATATATGTTGATGTCATATATCTGGCTAACAGGATCGTGATATTTTGCAATTACGGTGAATAAGAACTGCGGCTCAATTTATTTAACCTTCTCATGAGCGAAATCTTTTGATAGCATCGGAGAGGAAGTGGATCTCTCAGGACTGGCTCTACGCATTCGTAATACGAGGATTTTCAATGGAATTTTAAGGACATCTCAAGCCTGTAAATGTTATCATATCGTTGAGAATGAAAATAAATGAAAACCTATTCCGTCATCAAGCTTCCGAATGGCCATACATTGCAAAGCGGCAATGCAACGGACCAACTAAGGATAATTACTCTGCACGAATTTTTGGTTCTTGCTGTGCGATTTCTCCTTTGTGTTTTCTGTGTACTAAAATATATTTATTGAACTATCATCAGATGATGAAATTAGTGAATGTCGATTCGAAGAATGTTTGATCAGACGGTGATGATGAAATCCTACGTGATCGGAAAAAAACGTATTGGTCATGAGCTAGTTGAACATATGGTTCAAGAGGTGCCTC